AAAACTTTTTTTGATTTTTTTTTCTTGCAGTGCTGGGGATCAAACCCAGGGCCTTGCCCTTCCTAGGCAAGTACTCTGCCACTAAGCTACACTCTAGCTAAATTTTTTTAATGCAAGTTTAACACTGATTGATGCAGAATTGAGTGAATATTGCAAAGCTAGCACTATGAGCAGAACAATAAGGAAAAAGAAAGAAAACTGGAAAAGAGTATGTCACAAATCTCATGATGAACAGGCAACTACAATATGTTATAGCAGAACAAAATACCAAAGCTGTTTATTGTGAAGAAAACATTAAGATGTTAAAGTGAACAATATTAAAACCATTTTATTCCACTTTATAGTGAGTATAATATTTTTGTTCCAACAGTGCTAAAAAGAGTAGATACTCCTTGCCTGAAATGAAAACTAAATATTCAACAAAAAATTTTAAATGATACTTAATAGGATCTGAGCCAGTAACTTTCACCAGCTATAATAAGGCTTGGATTCTTGCACAGAAAAAAAAAAAAGAAGAAATTACTAGTTCAGTTTGGGGAATTTTTGTTGCAAAACTTATGAGAAAAAACTAAAAGAAAATGTTATTGCAAAAAGTGAAAGATTAAGTCACCAAACAATTGTTGTAAACACACCTTGCTAATAATCCAAAGCTCAGTCAATTCAAAATTTCAAAACTTGCAATTACTATTCTTTAGCTTTAAAGCAAACTTGTGATAAAGAATCCTGCTCAATTAGTATTTCACGTTCATTTATTTCTTTTCTTGGACTTGCAAATTTTCAAATATATACTGAACACAAGACAGACAGTTACAGAATATTTGTGAAAGATATATCTTTTGGGGGACTGTTATACAAAATACATAAAGAACACTTAAAACAATAGGAAAATGAACAACCTTTAAAATGGTCCTTGGCGCATTTTAAAATGGTGACCCATATATTACCAAAGAAGATATATAGATGCTAAGTAAACATACAAAAAGATAGTCACCATCATATATCTTTAGGGAATTGTAAATTAAACATATTCTATGACTCTAGAATTTTCTTTCAAAACCCAACATAAAACAATACAAGAGAGGTTAAGGCCTATTTATATAAAATGATGTTAATTTGAACATTAGTTGTAACTGCAAGAAACAACTTGAATGTACATGTGAGTAATTATGAGACTGCTAAGTGATTTAAAAGCAAATATTAAATACTTTGTAATCCTAGAGGGGAAAATGCACACTGAGAAAAAAATGTAAAATCTAACAGGTGGGCCAGGTGATTTGCCACCACAATAGGCATGCTTTCTCCTTAGTACTAGGAATAAAATTTATTAAATTTCATAGTATTCTAAAGAAATATGTGCTAGTTTAATCATCAGATAGCTATAGCAATTTGTACATTAATACGTTAAGAGATGGCAAGAAAGGGGGAAGTGACAGTAGCTACTGTTTCTGAAAAGTGGGGCTCAGACTTGGATGTGATTAGAACTGGTTATTAGAATGTGACCACAGCATGCAGAGATGCCAGAATAGGGAGAATAAAACAGAAAAGGTGGAAAAGCCAGTGCCATATTCATTCTCGACATGGTTACCACCATGATCACCTTGGATTCCATCCATCCCACTGGATGTGTGAAGGGCTTTTAGGATTGTTTTTCTGAAAGTCAGTGACTTATATACCCACTAGGTTCCCCTTTGATTGAGGGTTCCCTCCCGGGGTGTTAACTCCTTTCACTTTCTGTCTGCCCAGTTGGTGATCATAATTAGCTCATCAACTTCAGAAAAAAGGAAGAAAGGCAGGCTGGTTTTGGTGGCTTAAGCCTGTAATCCCAGTTACTTGGGAAGCTGAGGCCAACTTGGGCAAATATTTCCTGAGCAAAATGGCCTGGAGGTGTGACTCAAACTAGAGAATGCCTGCCTTGAAAGCCCAAAGCCTTGGGTTCAAAACCCCAATCCCACCAGTCCCACCAGTTTCTTTAAAAAAAAAAAAAAGAAAAAGAAAAAAGAAAGAGAGGAAAAGGCTGCTATGAATGAAGAATAGGGCTTGCTCAAGGGCTCTGGCAACAAAATGAGTTTGATATTGTCTAGGAACAAACAGAACGTCACTGTACATGGAAGGTAGGATGCAGAAGGCACATTGTTTATTGATCCAGGTGAGGTCTGTGGGGGATGGGGTCCTCATCTAACTGACTCTGGCATGGGAAAATATAGCAAGAAAGCAGCTATCTGCAAACAAGAGAGGACCCTCCTTCCCAGGCATCAAATCAGCTGGCAACTTCATCTTTGTCTTACCAGACTCAAGAACTCCAAGAAACAAATTTCTGTTGTTTAGCACACCAAGCTAAGGTGGTTATCAATTGAATTAAATTTAACTTCTTGTTTCTAAAGGAACTATCTTCATCAAGTTTTTATATCAATGAGTTTGGAAGCTTTTCTTTTGCTTTTGATCCATTAATCTGTACAGTTTAGATAATATCTGCATGTAGAGGAGATTATTTGGCTTTCTAACAAATGTCTATTCTATATCCTTTCTTCCTTAATATGAAAAAAATCTTAATTTTTAGTTGGACGTGCTGAAAGAAAGTATTTGCCAGACTTCTTAGGCAGAACCAGGGACTAAATTCTTGCTAATTCAACACTTGTGGAAGGTTGATGGTATATTATAGGAATCTAAAATTAAAGATAGATGGGACACCGCTGATCAGCTCAAAAATAGTAAAAATACTTAATTTTGGATTTTAAGAATTGCAATTCACAAGGCAGAGGTCCAAATAGCTCTGAAAAAAGTGTTCCCAAACAGGAAGGAAAGTGGAGCTTACATAGACTACTGAATGTTGAGAAGGAACACAGGCATATAATAGAGGAGAAAGAGAAGAATGTATAAACAGAATGGAACGATCTATAAAACAAGAATCCTATAACCTTTTGATATGCACCTTGATCCTCTGGACACAATGTAATTGTCTCATGGATAGTGAATCTACAGGTTCTTTTCCTACTGGATATCATTTGCAAATAACCAAACAGTTGTAGGAGGAGCCCAAAATTTTTATACAATGGCCAATGGATGCATAAGGGTCACTGATGTCTTAGGGCACCTCCTCCCCAAGCACATCTAGGGTCTGGATATTTTTGTGGGAAGGGGGTACTGGTGTCTGAACTCAGAACTTTGTGCTTGCAAAGCAGATACTTTATCACTTGAGCCACACCTCCAGGACATTTTGCTCTGGTTATTTTAGAGATGAAGGTCTCCCAAACTATTTGCTCAGTCTGGTCTTGAATCTCATTCCTCCAGATTTTAGCCTTCCAAGTAGCTAGGATTACAGGTGTGAGCCACCAGCACCCAGCTGGTGGTCTGAATTTTCACTCGGACTGAGATATGAGGAGGTATGCTCTATATGCTATCATTGGAGCTTTGCATGAGAAGGGGAGGAAATTTCCAGGAATTGGGGTGCTACGTCTTCACTAATTTGGGCATAGTTTTTTTCTGTCATAGTGTTTGTGGGTATTGGGTTTTTTTTTTTTTAATCATAATGGTATAATGAACCCAAGGTCCCCTGGATGTCATGTTCACAGCAGATTGAGTTCATCTGGAGCCATTTGTGGGTAGTGGAGTGTATGAGATAATTTGATGGTCAGCAGCTGAAAGTATGTGGTCATCAGCATCCAGCCTGTAACTTTTGCAAGCAAGAGGCAGACCTGAGAGGACAAGGGATAAGTAATTTCAGGGTTGAGTCTGGTGACCCTATTATTGCAGATGCTTGCAGGCAAAGGGTGGAGGTGATATAACCAGGCAGCAGCTAGAATCACAAACAAACCTGACTTCTGGAAAAGCTCTTTCCATGTTGCTTGCATCATAATTTTCTTTTTATTTTGATCAGACTAAGAAGTAGAAAAGAACTTAGTCTTACCTAGATTGTACCTTCACATGCCCAGCAGGAAGGTGGAATTTATCACTTACACAATGATAACTTACTTAGTAGCTAGTGTATTACTAGTAAGGGAACAGAAGACAAATAATACTGGGATTCCTTAGGTAGAGGAGCCAAAGAAATATTTTGCCTCTAGCTATCTTAGGGTCTCCATCTGGCCCCTTGTATACTAGAATAATAAAAGACATATTAACCAGAAAAAGCAAACAAAAACTTGTTAATATGCACATCACACACACACAGGGAGATACTTGAGATAAGTAATGCAAAGGAGTGGGTAAACTTTGTGTTTATATACCATTTTGACAAAAGAACAATACATTTTTAGAGACATGACAAGGCCAAGGAAAACCAAGTTTTTCTTTTCTTTTTTTTAATAAGGTTTGATCTGAAGTTTCTTCTGGTACTGTCTCCAGGCTAAGAATCTCTGGGGACTAACTTCTGTCCTTTCTGTCCTTCTGACTGGAAGGGGACACCTTTATAAGTTTATGTCCTGCAAATAGGCAAATTGGAGGAGGCAAGAAAGCTATTTTTTTTTTAATTTGTCAGTACTGGAGTTTGAACTCAGAGTCTTGCACTTCCTAGGCAGACACTCTATCACTTTGCCCCAAGTCTGCAGAAAGCTATTCTTGCATCTGATTTTTCTCAATTATTTTCTACTTGAAATAACCTTATTCAAAAGTGGCATATGTTAGAGTCACATAATCTGTTACCCTTCACTTGCTATGAAAACCCAGCCACCATCAGTCTGATTAGGAGAGCTTCTGACTGGGGAGCTTGGGCACTGGTTTGACCTCTTCTAAGTCTTCCTCTGGGCAGAGGTGGAGCTGCACCATCTGACATCCACAAACAGCTCTTGCTTCATTTCCCCTATCCTTACAGAAATGATACCAGAGGACCTCAACAAACATCAATTTTTAAAAAGAAATATAAAACATAATTTTGTGACTTTGGTCATGATCATTAAGTTCATTTGTGTTGGATGACTTCACTATGGCCCTGTTATTCAGCCACTCATGGTATGACCACGGAGACTTTACCTTTCATAATAAATGCCTCTAGAATTAAAGCCTATCTAATCATATCAGACTTACAAAAAAAGATTGTCAACAATCATTCCAATGATAACAATTTACTGAAGCTTAAAATTATTTCAGGATTTCTGGTTCTAATCCAGAGTGGGAAATATAAATTCCTTTCTTTTGAGAAATGAGTTCCCTATCAAAATTTATTTTTACTTGCAATCCACTTCCCATTTGAAGCAAATCATGATAAACCAACTTTAACCTCTCTCTCACATGTTACTTAGTGATTGCCTAGGCAGAGCTCAGTAGGTCTAGCTGCCTGCAGGTCTGGATTTCAGTGGTTAGAAGAGACACTATTTTGATTTTCATTATCTTTTATGAAGTTGGCAGGCAATTATCACTTTCTTTAATTCTCCACACATGAGTGCAAATGGCATCAAAGTGGGAGAATACAGAAGCTAAGATGCTGGAGTTACCTACTCATTACCAAAGGACTACTGAAAATCAAACCCTGGACCCACTAAAGAAGGATGCAGAGAATGATGTATAATTGTTAGTCTCTCTATTTATTTAACCTAATGCACATTTATTAATCATCAACAAAAAGCCCAACACTATTCTAGGTACTAGAGGAATAGCCGTGTAGAAAATGGACTGAATTTCTACCTTCATGGAAAATACATATTTTCTGGGCTGGTTAAAACAAGGAGACATTGCTCCTTTCTTTACTAATCAGGAATTGGCAGAAACAAAGGAGAATGTTGATAAACCTGGAAAAAGGGCAGGAGAGTATCAGAGAAGGAAGCCTTTGGGAAGGTGAAGATGTGAGAGCCAGTACTCATGTTGTAAAAGGATACAAGTCCGGCCTCATAGTCTATAAAAACTCCCACAACCAGAGGCTGCTCACTCAAATGAAGGGAAGTCAGTGGAGAGGTAAGTGCTACATACTTGTTTTCTTTGCACAGCCTGATGGTCCAGAATCCAAACTCAGGCTCCTGCTTCATGTCAGTGCCTCTCTGCACATTTTCCCTACAGACTCCCAAATCCCAATCAGTTCCTTCTCCAACATCCACTTCAAAGAAGTGTCTTCCTGAGGTGAAGCCCTCAGAACCGAGGACACAGGGGAAGGCAGTAAATCTCTTGGAAGAAGATTCAAGATTCTCCTGGGAGTATCCACGAGTCACTTGTCTTCGATCCTCAGACAGAAATAGGTCAGAATGTGCAGTACTTGGATCCAGAGTCACACTGACTGCAAAAGAACAACAGAAAATCAGCATACAACTAAGCAGCCTTTTTTGGTAATGAGAACACAACTTGTGTTGAAATCAAGCCTTGTTTCTTACTAGCTCTCTGAGCCAACTATAAAGTGAAAGTCATTATATCTGCTGTAGACAATGGTGAGGAGAATTGAATAGCTAATGTTTACCTCATGCTTCATTCTTAGCACACTGTAAGTGTCTCCTAATAAGCAGTAGTAATAATATCAATGCCATGGTCTTCATCAGAGCATCTTACTCATTCGGAGATATGAAGGACCAGAACACCAGAGTTAATCAGGTTCCTGTCCTGTATAAAGCCCTTTGTCTTGCATATAAGACTTCCAGAAATCATGAAAAAGCTTCCCTATCTCCATCTCATAAACACATACATATATAATAAAAAAATCTTGTACAGAATAGAAAAATAACAAACCAAATTATATATATATATAATATATTTAAACATGTACCTATATTATATATGTATACCATCGTATACCCAGTTCACATATGAATTTATAATACAAAAACATACTACACATATTATATATAAATATGCAGATAAAAAGCCAATATTTATGTATTAAGGTATGCTATATGTTAACTATGATACAAAGGTTTTATGATATAAACGTTTATATACAGATAGATAGATAGATAGATAAATGCTATAATTGATTACAGCTAACTCACTGACAAAATCCAATACCCAGAGATGACTAATCTCTTGGCAACAGAAGTCCCTGACTCCAAAAGAAAATAGGTCCACCTTAAATTTGAAATTCTACTTGTCAAAAAACAGAATGAAAATGTAAAATGTCATTCATAGTAGGAGAAGATACAGGCCACAACAAGTCCCTAGAAATCAATGAGGAATGCATCCCATTTACTCTTACCACAGTAAATCATGGTATATCATAAAAGCCTGAAAGGCTAATAGAAATACCAAAAAAAAAAAAAAAAATCGACTGCAGAAATTTAAATTTAGTCCAGAACTAGGGTCATTTGAAATCTTTTAGGTGGACAAAAGTTGTCAATTTTAAACAAAAAATGTAGGAAGATGTGGAGTAGTGGAAGGTCTTATGTTGCTGGTAAGGTATTAACAAGTACAATTGCAACATCTGTGATATCCAGTGAAATCAGCATGCACATCCTTCACATCAACATTTTCACTTCAGACCTAGTACTCTAACGTATGTGTCCATCCCATTGGGTTCTAAGGCAGTCCTGTTATCAACTGCAGTATTTCTGTATTTAAACATATATTGAAAGTTAGCAGGATAAAAACTTCAAATAATCTTGTATCAGTGCATTTCAGATTTGGTCACTGTGGCAGACATACTCTAGGATGATCTTCCATGTTCCTTGCCTGCTGGTGTTTGCCCTCTTTTGGTATTCCTTCCCTTTAAGCATGGGCAGAGCCAGGTGCTGGTAGCTCATGCTTGTAATCCTAGCTACTTAGGAGATAGAGATCAGGAGAATTGCAGTTCAAAGCCAGTCCGCAGTCCCGGCAAATAGTTCACAAGACCCTATCTTGAAAAACCCTATCACAAAAAATTGGGCTGGTTGAGTGGCTCAAGGTGAAGACACTGAGTTCAAGCCCCAGTACCACACACACACACATACTCACACACAAAAAGAATATGAAAGTATGATAGCATGTTACTCCTATGAATTAATTTCATTATTTAAAATTTCATCTGGCTAGCAGCTTTGGGGTACAGTCTCTTCTGAGCTCACTTTGAAGAAACAGCTGGCCATGTTGGAAGCTCATATGGACAGAACCTAAGGGCAGACTCCAGCCAAGTCAACAAGAGGAGTTTTGCTCTCATTTCCTGCATGGGGAATAGGAAATGACTCTCTTTCTCTCCCCGCCCCACCTCTTTGTTCTCACTCTAGAGACAACTTGCTTTTAGTCTGTTGAAAGGGTATTCCTCTCCTAATAAACTTTACTGTTACTTTCACTAAAAAAAGTCAACAAGAAGCCAGGACCATGATCCCTGAATGAATTCTGACAGCAACCCAAGTAATTTTAGAAGTAGATTCCTTTTATGCAGCCATGAAGAAGAATGAAATGTTATCATTTGCTGGTAAATGGATGGAATTGGAGAACATCATTCTGAGTGAGGTTAGCCTGGCCCAAAAGACCAAAAATCGTATGTTCTCTCTCATATGTGGATATTAGATCAAGGGCAAACACAACAAGGGGATTGGACTTTGAGCACATGATAAAAGCAAGAGCACACAAGGGAGGGGTAAGGATAGGTAAGACACCTAAAAAGTTAGCTAGCTTTTGTTGCCCTTAACGCAGAGAAACTAAAGCAGATACCTTAAAAGCAACTGAGGCCAATAGGAAAAGGGGACCAGGAACTAGAGAAAAGGTTAGATGAAAAAGAATTAACCTAGAAGGTAACACACACGGCACAGGAAATTAATGTGAGTCAACTCCCTGTATAGCTATCCTTATCTCAACCAGGAACACTTGTTCCTTCCTATTATTGCTTATACTCTCTCTTCAACAAAATTAGAGAAAAGGGCAAAATAGTTTCTGCTGGGTATTGAGGGGGTAGGGGGAAGAGGGAGGGAGCAGAGTGGATGGTAAGGGAGGGGTTGGGGGCAGGGGGGAGAATGACCCAAGCCTTGTATGCACATATGAATAATGAAACAATTAAAAAAAAAAAGTAGATTCTTCCCACGAATAACATCCAGATGAGAACACAACCCTTGTAAAACCCTAAGAAGAAGGCCCACCTAATCTCTACAGATTCACAAAAACTGGAATATTTGTATTATTTAAAGTCACTAAAGTTGTGGTAATTTCTTGGTAGCAATAGGTAACTAATGCAGCCACCAAATTATTTTAGGTCAGTTCCACTATTGCAGCCACATCAATCCTTATAAAACTTTCTATTTTCAAGTGGGGTATTTTCAAGCAAGCACATCCGTGATTGGGAGGCTAGCCTGGGTTAACAAACAAACAATGAAAAAATTTCTACTTTCAGAGTTTTTAATTTTGTAATTATGAATAAAAAAATTGTGGAAATACAGCAAACACCAATTAATACATTCAATGGAGCAGAAAACTTAGTCTTTGAAGTCAGTAAAACTGATTTTTGGATGATTCTAACATTTACCTGCATTACCTAGGTCAAGTCCCTGAAATTATTTCAAATGTAGTCAGTAATAATCACCTACCTTGCTTGCATAAAACTAAGTACTAGAAATATTCACCATAAACACTATAATCAGATCTACTACCATGAAGGGTAGGTCATGTGACAGTCACTGTGCTAACTCTTGCATAATAATGCAGTTAATTTTCATGACAACTCAATGAAGAAGGACCTTTCATCATACTAATTTTTTAGATGGAGAACCTGAGTGACTGGCATTGCCTAAAGTGACATGGTTACTTCAAGGAGGAACAGGAACTAGAGGGGTCTGTATAGACAAACTGTATGCAGAGCATACTGAGCTTGGGAGCTCACCACAAGGGGAGAGTGCAACAGCTCCACAGAAGATGAGTGAACAAACTTTGACTGTGAACCTAGCCGAGGATACTTGCTAATCTTAGATCCTGCCTAAGGTCCCTTCCATCCATAACTTTTAAGGATCCTTGAGTTCACTTACCTTGATGGCATCTTAATGCTTTCTTCACATCAAAGTACAGCTCAGAGACATTACAGGTAGTATGAATCTCCAAGGCAATGTTCTCAGGTGTTTCCAGCTTCACAGCCAAACTCCTAGAAGAAGCAGAGGCCAGAGATTTCCTTAGTGCCACATTCCATTCAGCTCTCAAATGTCCTCAGCCCTCCCGTCCTTCATTCAAGCAGGACTTACTTGCTTAAAGTTTGTTTCACATCCTATAAAATCAAAAGAAGAGTGTGTTAACATTAGTATTTCATGACATATGGGAAGTGAAGATGCTCTCTGTAAACACTCATCCCAAAGAAGGAAAGACAGCAAACCCTGCGTTCCATATGGATGGACACTCAGATGGAATGATTCCCAACCCACCCTCTGGTGGACTTAGCAAGGTCTGTTATCTTCCCAGTGGAAGCCTGTGGGGAATTGTCTGTAATGGTATCAGCTTGGGGTGAAGGTCCTCACACTTTGCTTACTCTTTCTACAAGACTTGTTTCAGGGTTACTGATTCTTTCAGAGTGAGCCCATATTGGAGACCTCTTATCACACAAATCTTTAGTGGTTAATTCATACAGAGTTCCTGACCCTGGGCCACAGAGGTGGTGTAGAGGCGGTGGAGCAGATACACTATACTCTCAACCAATCCCATTAGTGGAGCCAGAATTAAGAGCACCAGAGGTTTATGTTGATGAGATGTATCCTTCATGAAGCTGCAAAAAGGCTGTGGAGCCTGTGCTCTGCAAGCAAATCAGGAGAAATGTTACCATGGTGCTGGCTGACACACTATCACTGTCTTTCACTTGAAAGCATATTTTAGGAGTGAGTCTTCCACTGAGGGATTTAAGTGCATGGGCTAAGGGGACAATGTAGGCAGAAATATCCCATGGGTCTGTTTAGCCACTCTATGTTCACCATAAGAGAAGTGTATTTGTATAATGAACATCACATTTTCCTATCATCTAGTGGAAGCCATTCTGACAAGATTGATGTATAATATAAAAGAAACATTATCCTAAGTTCCATGTAATACTACATCACTTTTGAGTGAAGGCAGGCCTTGCCAATCCTCCCATGCTTCCTTACTATTCTCCTCTTACCAACTCAGTAACACATACCTCCTCTCCCTGCTCTAAGCCCACAGTCTCACCTGTAGCAAGTTCTGGACTGAACCCTGACATTTTGCCTCCAGTTTCAGGATATGGCTCTCAAGTTCATTGCTCTTCTGCTCCACCTTGGCCTCGCTGTCCCTCATTCTCCTCAGCATCTGCTCTTCTTCTTTCTCCAGCCTCCAGAGGTAACACTTCTCCTCCTCATGTAGAAATGTCTGGAGATTCTTGAATTCAGACTTTACTTTTTGCCTCTGCATCTCTATCAGCTCCTAGAATCACAAATGAATGGTCAAAAGGTAGAACAAACTAAATATCCATCTTTGGTTGCATGGATGAATAAAATGTGGTCTGTGGAGAAAACAGAATATTACTCAATCTTAAGAAAGAATGAAAGTCAGACCCATGCTTTGGTAAGGATGAACCTTGACGACATTGTGCTTAGTGAAATAAGACAGAAACTAGAGGACAAAATAATACTCGCTTATATAAGGTACCATTAATGGTTAAGTTTACAGTCACAAAAAGCCAAACAGTGATTACAGGAATTGGGAGAAAGGAAGAATGGGGAGTTTGTGTTTAATGGGGACATTTTCAATTTCAGTTTGTAGATAAGAAATGTTCTGTAGATGTATATGGCAATGGCTGTACAACACAAAAATACTTAGTGCCTCTGAACTGTACATGCATAATGGTTAGTATGTAAAATTTTGTGTTATTTTACTTCACACAGAAAAGAAAGAGTATAATCAGCCACCGTGACATAATTTTCTGATGAGTCACTTATATTGAAAAGACTTCCTACTGGCACTCAGATGTGGGAAATATTGTCCCTTATTCTCTATATAATCAGTCACCTGATTAATTTTTTCCTTTTCAACCAAGATACAGGAATCTGGTAGAACAGGAAGACTAGAAAATTTAATCATGGTATTTGGGACAGGTTCAAATACTTTCTAAGTTGTAATCTTCTTTTATCAGTTGGGATGTATGAAGGGATCTCTGAGTCTGAGGAAATTTCTTAAAGCAAGAGTTGGTAGAGAATATTCATAAGAATGTATTTTAAGACAACCAGACTGGAAGAAGTGTATTTGATTCTTGGCAAAGAGAGTACTGGTATATCAGACTTTGGTTAGGGTTAACTGAGAAATATTGATCTACCAGCCTAGGGTCATCTTTGTCATCCCCATTGCTATGTTAAGTTCCCATGGAAACTTAAAGGAAACATCTGCCTCAGAATGAGAACCATGCTGAGAACTCAAAGACTGACTCAAATCTCTCCAACTGAGCCAAGTGAGTGAGTTTTATTTGTGATTATTTCCAGAGCAGTGGATGACTTCTGGGGCACCTGTTCCACTGATACATCCCACCACCCCATTTTTTTGTGTGTGGTACTGAAGTCAAGTTTTGAACAGGTATGAACAGGGTTTGAACCGGGGCTTCATGCTTGATAGGTAGGCCTTCTACCACTTGAGCCATGCCACCAGCCCACCCACCACCCTTTGATTATGTTTTTCTTTGATCTAAGGAGTAATGAGCAAGTAGGAAGTGAGTAGTGATTAAAGATCTCTCCTTAATGATTGGTCCAAGAGGGCAATTGTTCACAGTAAACATGCCCCTGACCCCAGAGAAACTGTTAACAGTCTCAGTATTGATTATCCCAAGCTTTTGTATAGTTTTATTTATGTTCTTGCCTCAACTACCAGGTCCCTGTCTGTTATTGTGGTAGTTCCGGCCCCAAAATGGCAAGGTCATGTCAATCCGGGAGGACCAGTTTTCCATATAAAAATACAAATGATGGATCTCACTGAACTTAGCTCACATTTGAGGAGACAAAGAATTAAACTTTCCATGAGTGCTTTCTCAATTCATTGACTATGATTTTGTGATAATAGGATCATTGATTTAGGATGAAGTGAATTTTTTGTATAAGAGACAGGTATAGCTTTAGCTATGGTATTGATGGCCTTTCCAAGTATGTTAGATATAATCAAGGTCTTCACACTGTCCAAGATCCCAGAATTTAAGGAAGTAAGAGCATTCACTTGCAGCACAAGTTTAACATCCACATATAAAGGAGGCAAGATTGAAAGGGTAAAATGGTTCACCTGCCTATGGAATGACTACAAGCTAATGGAAGACAGATGTTTCCAGAACAGATGTGTCTCAGACAACATGGATAGCCTGAAATCATATAGTATGCAGTTACAAGTGTGTACATTCTTGCAGCAGTTAACATGCTCCTTATAAATCAAGTAGATTTATTTCACTGCCTCCATGAATCTCAGCCTGAAGTGATCCTGCTTTCCTAATGCTCTCATAGGTTGGTTTCTGACTCTGCAAGAGTCATGCCCTACACTATGGTGTATGTAACAAAGTAAGAAGGAAGATGCCTGAATTCTAGATTGATAGATTTAAAATGTGAAATCGAGTAAAGCTAGTTCTAGGGAATTAGATATAGCAGTTCTGCTTCCCTTGATTGAGTTTTCAAGAATCCAAGCCATTATTATTGGAAGACTGAAGGATTTGGTGATGTAATCCCATGGATATAAACAGTTATGGCATAGAAACAATGGTTTCTTCCTTGGGTTTCATCTATCTGGTCTGGAACAGTGAGAAGCATTCATGACTCTCCTTTGTCCCAATCATGACTCTCCTTTGTCCCAATCATCCTACATGCCTAACCTCTAGAATAAAAAATAGCTTGAGATCAATGAGCTCAGATTCTTACCTTCCAATCAGCTATTTGTGTTTTCACAAACAGCATTTGTATCACACATTCCTCTTGGAGTTGACTCAATTTTGTCACAGCACACTGGAGTTTTTCCTGAAGGAAAAATTGGATGAATAAAGTTTATGCAATAAAATTGTTTATTAGTCAAGTAATGGGAATCCCAGCTCTTCTAGATGTGTTCAAATCACAGTGAATATTCATTGAGTTCTTAAGGGGTTTCCCAGGGAACATGCTGAGGGCTGTAAGTGCCCTAACATATTGATCCTCTTAGCAGTTCTGAACTGTGGTGGTATAAGGGGAGCAAATAACAGAAGTGACTTTGTCTTAGATAAAGGAGACAGGAAGGCATCATTTAAAGTAAACATCTAAGGAGACATGATGAGCAAGCTCTTCAAAGAAGTAAAACAACAGGCTTCTCATCAAAACAATAAAATGTAGCAGTCCTTATCCTAGATAAGGGAGACAGGGAGGCATCTTTGAAAACAAACATCTAAAGAGATGGGAAACAGGCTTCTCAGAAAAGTGAAACAGCAAACTTCTTACCAAGTTAAGAAAAGGTAGCTGTAAAGTGTAAATGGTGGTCCTCAAGGCCAGGACAAGCTGACCAGACCCTCCTGGAATGTCCAGTACAATAAAGATGGGGGTGACCAGATGGTCAGGTTCAGTGGGACATCAACTAGATGACATCAATTACAAATGTAGTTTCAAGGTAAAGTAGGTATACCTAAGTCAGGCAGAGCCCTATATCATCTCCTAGACTTCAAATTCCATGGCTTAGCTTTTTTCCCAAAGCCCCTCTTATGTATATGGGAGCTTTGCTATCCTTTCAATAGACTTTGCCCTTGCTTCATTCTTAACTCCTGAGCCAGAATCTTCAATTATCAGTTTTGCCCATACACAAACTCAGGATCAAGAAACCAGTATCAGTGGGATATATAACATCATGTCTGTGCTGTAGAAAATGAGGCTTAGGAACGGGATAATAAAGCTTTGATTCCAATTTCATCTGTTGATAAAATCATATCCACAACAACCTTGCTGAGGAAAAGTTGTATATAGAATATGATCACCTTAGTGAGATTTTATGAAATTTAGTGTGTTGAAGCAAACATAACCAGTGCCAGGGGTAACAGGGACACATGGAACTTTGTAGTGTGAGTTAGAAAAGAAATACCAGAGTACCAACTAAATTTATTAGAAAGAGTTTATGGAGAGGGGAATCCTGATACGTTTTGATAAGTGGCATCAAGAAAACAATGTAAAAGAACTTAGTATCCTTGTCAAGCTTTTAGGTTATTTTAAAAAATAGTTTCTCATCTTTTCATTGAAAGCAATTTGAAGCTAACCTAAATTTCTCATTGTGGTCAAAGGTAAAATAACTGGCTTCTGACCTCTGTAAACCAAACTATAATCATTAATTCTTGAGCGCTCTTAGCAAAGGGCACTGCATAAGTGATTTAGAGAAGACTTGCCCGTGCTATGTCCCAAGTGCTACTTTAAGCTTTTCATATTTTAATACCTTTAAAGCCTGTACAACTCCTGGGTATGTGTGTTATGTTTTGGAGGCAGGGACTGCTGTTATCCCCATTTGCAGATGGAGAAATCAAGTCACGAAGAGTTTAAGTAATTTATCCCAAATTAACCATCTAGGAAGTGTCAGAGCTAAGAGTTCTATCTAAGCAATCTGAGACTTAAAACCATTACCCTGTGCTGTTTCTTTCCTTACTTCTTAGTGGGAAAGTAATGCAAATGGTAACACCCTTATTACAGTTATTAACTGCAGAATAGTGCATAGAGTCTAGGGAAGAGCCGTGTGTGTGGAGTTGTCAGGATTAATATGTCCTTATTAAGGAGCTGGAGTCTTCACACAAACTACCTCCATGTTTTGGAGGACAGAACAAGGGTCCCCATACTGAGCACATTTTCCTCAAATTTAGCAGGACAGAGTAGCCTGCTTTTTCTTTCTGCCACGCAAAGGGCCCCTTTCCTTACATGCCCACAAGGTGTTAGTGAGGGAGAGTTTAAGTGGGTGAGGGAGCTTTCTCAAAAGGTCAAGTTCCCTAGCCCTCAGCACATGCCCTAGTTCCAGGACTTTCCTCTCTGCAGAAACATCCTCCTTTATCATGATGCAGAGGTCACTGATCTAACCACATAAGGGCGTTCCAAGGACATTTCCAACCAGATGCTTTCTGAAGGAGGCATGTCCTTGGTGGGACTTGGGACGTGTCCTAAGGCAGAAAACTTGGGTTAGTACCCATTTACCCTTCTCGGCCAACCTACATTTCTCTATCCTCCTGCCTCAGTTGGATCATGGGGCTCTGATGTAATCAATGGATTAATCCATTAATGGGCTCATAATTTGAAGGAGTATTGCGAGGGATTAGAAAGTTAAGAGGTGGGATCTAGATGGGAGTGTGTTCTTGAGAGCATATCCTTGGGTACTGTATCTCGTCCCTGACACCTCTCTCTCCTCTCCTCTTCCCTCCCTTCCCCCTCCCCTGTTTCCATGCTGACATGAGCTGGTGGCCTCCTTTACTACATGCTCCTGCTGAAATTCTGCTTCAAACTGTGAGCCTTTGCACCTTTAGTTGGTTTCTCTGAGGCATTTTGTCACAGGGACAAAAAGCTGACTAATACACTTTGACTCTTCTGGAATCTTCTTTGACACTGCACTTTCCCTTTATTTTAGGGACAATTTTTCTGTGGTAATCAGCCTGTCACAGTGAATCAATAGGGTCCCATAGTTGTGCCTTTGCATGTGCAGGTCCCTTTGCCTTGAATGTGCTGTCGATGGTGAATTTTGTGTGTCCTTCAAGAGTCGCCAGTAGGATGGACTACTACTTGCCACCTAGTGCCCCTTCTTCCACATAATTACCAGGTGCCAGGCAGTCTTTGGCTGGCTTGTCTTCTCAACTGAACTACAGGATACCTGAAATTAGTAAGTAATTTTCCCCTATGTTTTCAGATCCTACCACAGAATCTTGCATTATTGTGGTTCTGAAATTACATACAGTTTAAAGCAAAAACATGCAGGGGTTTGGTCTGAAAACAACATGTTGTGGAGCATGGAGAAATTCATTATAATACAAAAGGAAGAAACAAGTCTGACCACCCACTGAGTGTCAGGATGAACACTTTAGACTTGATTCAGCAAGGATACATCACAACCTAGTTTTAATCACAAACTATTTCACTGATAAAAGAGTTGTATTACAGGGTCATAACCATAGACTATGGGTTAAATACTCTCAGGTCTTAGGAACAGAATGAAACCTGGTATTTGATGAGGTCCAGGACCTCCATGCTTACCTTGTAGCCCTGGAATACGTCTTCCACAAGAGCTGTGGCATGCCCTTTGTGCTGTGCTGCCCGCTCACAGCGCCAGCAGATGAGCTGGCCCTCCTCTTCACAGAACAGGTGGAGCTTCTCTCCATGTTCCTCACATACCATCTCATGGTCCATCTTCTCCATCTCTTCAATGACTTCAATTATGTTTTCCAGCTCTCTGTTGTGTCGGAGGCTCTTCATATCAAAAGGGCCCCGACACAGAGGACAGTCCAGTATCTTCAGCGTTGGTTGCATTAGGCGTAACTTGTTATAGAAGTCCAATATGCACAAGTGGCAGTAGCTATGTCCACATTTGATGCTCACTGGGTGAGTCATCAGATTCATGCAGATGGAGCAAGTGGCTATCTCTCTCATCTTCTTGATGCTATCAGCTGAGGTCATGGCTTTTCTTGAGAAACTCCAATATTGGGTCTAGGAGTACAGCTGAAGCAGGCAGAGTTTTCCACAGTGATAAAAATATATTTTACTTGTTCTTCTGAGAGATGTGGTGCTGCTACTGGCATACACAGGCCTGGAAGACTTGTTTCCTATCCAAGTACTAACCAGATCCGACCCTCCTTAGCTTCTGAGATGAGATGAGATAAGGCGCATTCAGGGTGGGATAGCCATAGACAAGACTTGTCTGCAGAAGCAACAGATGGAATTTAAATATTGCATAAATAAGCTCTAACACAAGAGCTATTATCATTGGTGGCCATTTAAATTTACCTTAATAAACATTTAATAAAATTTAAAATCAAGTTTGTCACTGTTGATTACATTTGCCTAAAAGTCACGTGTCTGGTGGTTACAACAGGCCAGAGAGAACATTCCATTACTATAGAACATTCTCTTGGGCTATGTGGTAAGAGAAGCAAGGCAGGCCAGGTGCCAGTGGCTCATGCCTGTAATCCTAGAGACTCAGGAGGCAGAGATCAGGAGGACCGAGGTTCAAAGCCAGCCCAGGCAAATAGTTCTCAAGATCCTATCTTAAAAACACCCATTACAAAAAAAAACAAAAAAAGACTGGTGGAATGGCTCAAGGTGTAGGCCTTGAGTTCAAGGCCCAGTACCTAAGAGAAAAAAAAAAAAAAAAGAAGAGGCAAGGCAGGATTTCTCATAAAACTTCAACCAAGAATGAAAACTCAGCCAGGGAATATAGAACTCATCTCATTCTCATACACTCCAGAAGAATTATAATTATTGTAAACAAAAATATCACTTTATAACACTAATTACTAGAGGTCTGTGGAGGATTCCAGTTAGACAGCCAAGTTTGACTCTACCTTGACCACTACCCTCAACCCACATTAGATCATAAGATTTAAGGTTATAAAATCTCAAGGAGACTCAACCAATAAGACGGCCAACGTAAAAAAGGCTACCAGAAAAAAATGGTTACTTTTGCATCCCATCCCTGAACTGAGGAAAAGAGATTTGGAAAAAGGACTATAGAGGAGCACTAGCCCTGGTAAGCAATTTTTCCTGGAAACAGAGCTCCTGCAGAACTAGGGAGTTTTATGTTTCTTCTACAGAACAGGATCTAGCTCCCAGGAGACATGCACAAGACTAAAACACAGTTGACAGTACCCAGGATATAGGGAAGGTAGAAAGGAGGAGAGGGAGGCCAGGCCTCTGTGGAATTCAGAGTGCTGGATCCCTTGTATCTAACACTTGGGACATGACAACTAGAGGCAACAGAGTAGAGACCAGCAACCATGTTTGTCCCTGGCCTCTTGTGGCATCATCTTCTGAGAACCCATTCTGGTTCTCCCAACACACTGACTCCACCAGAAGAAGATGGGGAAAGTTTATATAATGATTTATCCTTTGAAATGACAGTGCCTAGAATTGAAAACAGGAATTGAAGTACTATTACCAGATGGGTGATTTTCCTCTCATAACCATGACCAATTTGGAGACACAAAGGACTTTTCTGAAGCCATTGCTCCCTGGCAGATCATTTCCAAGGATACACTAGGACACTCTCTGCCAGGGTGCAGAGCTCCTGGGGAGAAGGGCCTTCTCTCCTTCTGAAGCCCCAGGCTGTCTGTCTGGACCTCACTCACCTTCTGTTCTGGATCTTCAGAGATTTGGTGTGAAGTCTGGAGAAGGCAAGAACAGACAAAGGATGAGAGCTGTAAGACAACCTTCTGAGCCATTTCCAGAGTAGGGGGCAGGGCTCTGCTATCAGGAAATACACTCCCCACCTTACCTTTCCCCCACTCCCACTCCCATTGCCCACCCTAATTACAAACCATCCACCAGAGGATCCTGGCCTGGATCTTTCATGAAGACAGAAAGAATTTGCGGCTAGTCTCCTCAGAGGCTGTCACTTCCTGAAATCTGAGAACTTAATAAAAGAGTCAATTCAGAAGTGAAACTACTGTGGGAGGCGGGACCCTGAGATTTACAGCCAATGAACTTGCTCATCTCTTTTGCACTCAGCTTGTCCTGAAAGGAAATATAGAAAAAACTGCCTTATTTTAAAGCAGTAAACACAAAGGACAAATTAATAGCCCATAAACTCAATGTGACTCCAGTAGAGAATATCCAGAAACAGGAAGCCAGCAGAGGGTCAGCTCACACATGGGATGGAAGATCCTTCTTCTTTATTTCCTTCTCCATTTAGGCATCCATTAGCCTTCTTCACCAATGTTATTTGTTTTGCTATTTCTAGGTTGCTTATTGATTTATAACAATGGGGTTGAGTGGTGATAAAAAGAGTGGTAACAGTAGTGGGGCTCATAGGCATCACAAAATTCTTCCAAAGTAGCTTGCTGTACTTCTCTGTCCTGTTGTTGGGTCTCCTTTTCCCCCACTGCCCCTCTAAGGGACTCAAATACTTTTCAAAAGCCAGAGTCAGCCACCTAGGACAGGAAACAAAAAACAGTAACAGTCAAGCAATGGATACTCTTATTCTAGAGCCCTGTGAGCCCTCGGGACCACAGATCTTCTCTGTGCTCTATGGAGAAAAGGCTGTAGGGTTGGGGGCAAAGTTAAGTGTTTATCCTTGTCTTCTCCATGTCAAAATCAGAGCAAAAGTACTGTTACCAATCAAAACAGAATTTATTACTGATTGGAAAAAAAAAAGGATAACCACATTGAACTAAAACCGTGTCACATTTATAATCTCAAGTGTAATAGGCATTTTTTGGGGGGGGGTTGCTTTGCTAGAAAAAGTTTTTTCTCTCCAATCATTTCTCCAGGTTTTCATCCACTATCCTGTAGGCATAACAGCTCTCTATGCATGGCTGTTGTAAATTATTTAGGTAGATTTTTCTCTATTACTAAATACTAAATTCACCCATTGATTACATAACTGTGACTTCTTAATGGTGCTGAGTTAGTATTTTAAATTTTGGCAGAATTTTTGAATTTCAGGTTTATTAGGATGAGCATAAAGACCACCATGTTAGACCATACCCCCTCCTTGTCATCGGGAGCTTACTGGAAACACCCCACTACTTATTGGAAAAAATCATACCTGGCCCCAAAGAATGATAGAAATCCTCTTATACCATTGTGACCAGGGCTTGTGGGAGGCAAGAGTCCGTTGAGCAACCAACTGGCCACTGACCTAATCACCATTTATCTACCTTACTACCCTTAGCAACAAGCCAATCACAAAATTTTCCTGGTCTAATTGGTTTGCTGGCACTTTCCCACTACCCTCTTATAACTTCCCCAAATCTGTAAGTGACAGTGGGCTCTAGATCTCTTGCTGGAGACTCTCTCTGCAGGTTCCTTCTGAATAAAGTCTGTGCTGGCGTTGCGCCATCTCTTTCCCTATCTCTCTGTGCTTCTTTCAGTCTAATATCTTTGTCTCCAGCGTATTCTTTCATGCCTTTGTTTCAGTCTAACAAAAAGAAATAACCCTGGCTTGGGAGCAAAATCCCAGATGTTTGCACAATTTTGCCCACTCCACTCTTTCAGTTTTACAACAATCCATTACTTACATGAAGAGGCAGAAAGAGAGACTAATGAACTAAGAATCTGAAGTCTCAAGGGCTATATTCTTCTCCAAATTCCAGCATTCTTTACTCCCATCTGCTCAGACATTACCCCTTCTACCAGAGTTTCCATATTATCAAAACTCTTAGTGGGAATGTCTGGTGTTAGAGCTCTGGAAGCAGTACGCAGAGATGAAGGAAGTGGGAGGGTAAAGATGAGGGCACTAATATGTTACAATCTTGTGTATGAATATTCATATTGTTTGTTTGTTTGGCAGTGCTGGGATTTGAACTCAGCCTCATGTTTTTAGGCAAATGCACTACCACTTGAGTCACACCCTCAGCCTTTTTTACTTGAGTTATTTTTCAGATAAGGTCTAGAGTTTTTGCTCTGGCTGGCCTGAGACCATGCTCCACCTACCTATGCCTTCAGATTACTTGGGATTACAGGCATGCAATACCATCCTAGGCCTTGAATGTTCATAGTCTATGACTTAGGAGTTTTCTTTAAAAACCAAAATGGGAGATAAACACCCGCCCATGTATATACAATATTTATTTGAACATTGTGATTGTAAAAAAAATTTAAATGTATATGGGAATAAGTATGAGACTGCTTCAGTAATTTAAAATCACATGTAAACTACTGTGTCATCCCAGAAGAAAAAAGTCACACTTTAAATAAAAAATGAAGCAAAATCTAACTTGTAAGACAGGTTATTTAACAACACAAAGATAACTGTTCTTGGCACTAGGAGTATAATATACTACATTTTATAGTATTCCACAGTAAATATATGTTAATTTAATCATCACATAGCTATATCAATTTCTACATTTCTACCTTAGAAGGGGACTAAAGAGGGGGAGGAGGCAGTGAGTATTGTTACTGAAAAGTGGAGCTCAGACTTTGATGATGTGGTTGGGACTAGCTATGACATTCTGACCTCACAATGAGGTCAGAGTGGAGATGGGTTAAGAAGATTGAGATAGAGAAGGTAGAGAAACAGTGCCATATGCGTTCATGACATGGTCACCACCATGAGTGCCTTGAGTTCCATCCATCCCACTGGAAGTCCTCTGAGTTTTGTGAAGGGCTTTAGGGATTCTTTTTCTGAAAGTCAGGAAACTGGAGCCTTTATCTACCCACTAGGTTCCCCTTTGGTTGAGGGTTTTCTCCTGGAATTTTAAATTCCCTTCTGTTTCTCTCTTCCCAGATGGTGATCACAGTGGCTCACCTAGTTTCAGAAGAAAAGCCCCAACGAACATAGACTGCTCTAAACAAAGAAAAGAACAGGGCTTGTTCCAAGTCCCTAGAGCCAAAATGACTTTGGGATTGTCTAGGACCAAACGGAAAGCCATTGTATATGGAAGGTAGGATGCAAGAAGGCAGATTATTCATTAATCCAGAAGAGGTTTCTGAGTCCAAAATTTGCCCTGGTGAACAGATTGGACTTGACCTGAGAACAGTGTTTCTGTGTCACTCAGTCTGTGTTCCTCCATATCCCTCTACTGCTGTCTATTATTCCTGCTCTGTCCTGTCTGTATCTGTTCTCTTGCTAGACTCCACAGCTCTCACATAACTGACCCTGCATGCAATTACAGGGGGAAGGAGACGTCACAAATTTCTGAGGAAGGGCACTCCAGGGGAAGCTCCTCTTTTGCTGTCTTGCTAAATATGTACCAGATGCTGCTCACTGGCTCTGCATGCCGGTGAGGGGGTTTCCTACAATGGACAAATGAGAAGCCTAGCTGGGAGGGAGTGGGGGCCCTGCCACAAGCTCCCTGTGGTCTTTCATGAATCTCGCTCAGAATATTAGTAAGGTAGAACTTCTCAAGTTCAAACACTGCCTCCTTGAGGTAGAATAGAAGAAACTGAAGGAACCACACAACATTTTCAGTTTTCCTTAAGTTTGTTCTTCTGAACATAGGAGCCATGCATTGTGTCATCTGATATGTGAACATATTTTAAAAGGTTTAATTTGTTGAATTCTAAGGTTTAATTTGTTGAAAGTTAGCAGTCTAGTTAGGCCATGCCATGTGATCTCACACAGGACAGTGACTGTAGTTTCCTTAAGGAAACAAATAACCAAACAAAAAGCTAGGTGTAGATGATAAGGATACATTGAACAACTCACAGAGGTAATCACTAAGTACCAGGATTCTGGCAGATAGGACTGAGGGAGGACCCAGTTGCTAACCTAAGTGACTCAATTTTCTTTTCTTGACCTGTCATTCACTCTTTAGTTGTAGTTGTTTTGTTGTTTGTTTGAAACAGGCTCTTGGTATGTAGCTCATTCTGGTCTAGAACTCAGAGGGTCATGGTTTTGATAAATAGACTTCCTGCAAAGAAATGAAAATTATACCCTGACACCCAACAATTTCCTCTGTGAGGTTGAGGAGATTGACCCCAGACATACAGCAACCTCCTTGGCATTGTTAAGACTCTGGGTGCTATGGAAAATCCCACAACTCTTGCCTTTTTCCTTCTCTTTCTCATACTCTCAAGGTCTCCATTATCATGCTGAGGACAGCCCTTAGACTTGTCCTCCTTGTGTGACCACACTGAAATTAAAATTCTTTTCATGTCTCACCATCAACTTTTCTGACTGTTTTTCTTTCTTGTAATTAGTTGTCTAGCTTAAGTCATTGGAAACTCTGGAAACAGGCTGTGAACTAGAATAATCAAAGATACAGTAACCAGAAAAGCAAATAGAAATTTATTAACACAAACATCACACATACACCAGGTGATACTCAAGAGATAAGTAATGCAAAGGAGTTGTTAGAACTTGGTCATATGTACATTTTGACAAAAGAACAATACATTTTGGAGAAAAGAGAAGGAAAAATTAAAGGACTTTGAGTTCCCAGGTTTGTAGATTCTGGGTAGGAGAATATATAGAAAAGCAACTGATAGACAAGCAGAAGTTTTTATAAAGTTTGGAATTAAGTTTCCTTTGATACTGTATCTAGGGTAAAAGTCTTTAGTAGGGAATGGAATAGAACAACTTTACAAATTTATGACCTGCATTTAGGGAAGATAGATGGGGAGGGCAAAAACTGTTCTTGTAGCTGAACTTTCTTAATTCTTTCTGTTCACAATAAATCTTAGGCCATCGTGGTACATTTTAGGGTAGCATACTCTTCTACCCTCAACTACTACTGAAAATCCAGACTCCATCAGCCTGAGTAAGAGAACTTCTGACTCTGGGGAACTTAGGCAATTGCTTTACATCTTCCAGCTCTTCCCCTGGGCAGAGATGTTAGGAAAAAGCATGCTTGTGACACCCACAAACAACTCTTGCTTCATTTCCTTTATCATTAGAGAGATGATACCAAAGGACCTCAATAAACATCAGCAATATCAACAATATACTTTTCAGAATTTTGTGACTTTAGTGATTATCATTAAGGTCTGTTGTGTTTTGGGTGACTTTACTATAGTCCTGTCATTCAACCACTCATGGTAAGACCACCTAGACTTGAATGGGAGTTACTTTTCACAATAACTCTTATAAAAATTTAAGGCACAATTGCTCATATATGAATTATAATAAGGGCTGTTAATCATTCCAGAAATAATATTTACTGATATTTTAAAATATTTTCAGATACCTAGCTCTAATACCGTTCAAAAAAATACCAACTTTTCTTTCTTTCCAGTTGGTCACATATTAAAATTCTTTTTTACTCAAAGTCCCTTTTAACCATTTGAGGCATATCATCTCTCACATATTACTTGGTGATTTCCCAGGCAGAGCCTCCTGGCCTCCTAGTCTGTACTTCTTATCATTAGTCAACATGTCAATGGTTGCAAGAATTTCCGAAATTTTGGTTTTTTCTGCTCTTTTATGGAGTTGGCAGACAATCATTACTTCCTTTCATTACCCACATATAAGTGAAAATAGCATCAAAGAAAGTAGGAAAATCCAGAGCTCTAGACTTTGGGGTCACCCTACTTATCACCCAAGGACTACTGAAAAATCAAAGTCCTGAACCCACTGAGGAAGGATGCAGAATAACATATGATCATCATATTATCTTGCTGTACCCTCAATGAAGCTGACCATCTGCAAGATTTTTAGTCTTTATATTCATTAATTCAATGCACATTTATTAAATAGCAATTAAAGTCCCAAACTGTTCTAGGTACTAGAAGAATAGTAGTGAAGAAAATGGACCAAATTTTTGCCTTCTCAGAATTTTCACTTTCTGTGCTTTCTAGGAGACATTGCTCCTTTCCTTACACATCAGGAAGAGGCAGGAACAAAGAAGAATGCTGATAAACCTGGAAAAAGGGCAGGAGAGTATCAGAGAAGGAAGCCTTTGGGAAGGTGAAGATGTGGCAGCCAGCACTCATGTTGTAAAAGGATACAAGTCCGGCCTCATAGTCTATAAAAACTCCCACAACCAGAGGCTGCTCACTCAGATGAAGGGGAGTCAGCGGAGAGGTAAGTGCTACATACTTGTTCTCTTTCCACAGCCTGATGGTCCAGAATCCAAACTCAGGCTTCTGCTTCATGTCAGTGCCTCTCTGCACATTTTCCCTACAGACTCCCAAATCCCAACCAGTTCCTTCTCCAACATCCACTTCAAAGAAGTGTCTTCCTGAGGTGAAGCCCTCAGAGCCCAGGACACAGGGGAAGGCAGTAAATCTCTTGGAGGAAGCCTCGAGATTCTCCTGGGAGTATCCACTAGTCACTTGTCTTCGATCCTCAGACAGAAATAGGTCAGAATGTGCAGTACTTGGATCCAGAGTCACACTGACTGCAAAAGAACAATAGAAAGCCAGCTTTCAACCAAATAGCCTTTTCGATGCTGAGAACACAATTTGTTTTGATTTTGTGTTGAAATCAAGCCATGTTTCTTACCAGCTCTGTGAGCCTACTATAAAGTGAAAATCATTATATCTGTTGCAAACAATGGTAAGGAAAATTGAATATCAAATGCTGGCCTCATGCTTAATTCCTAGGACATTGTAAGCACCTAATAAGTGGTAGTAATTATACCGTATTCCATCACATTTATCATCAGCATTCAGACATACTAAGGACCAGAACAGCCAGAGTTAATCAGGTTCCTGTCCAATACAAAGCCCTTCTTCTCAAATGTAGGACTTCTAAGAATCATAAGCTTGTGGAGCAGAACATAGACCTTCTCCTTCTTCATTTGATACCTCATACACATATAACAAAAAAATCTTATAAAGAATAGCATAGCAACATATCATATTTTACATATACATTTATACATATTGTGTATGTATAATAGCCTATCCATATTTCACACATGTGTTTATAATACAATTTATAAACATATTATATATATATATTATAATGTATAAAAACCAATCTTTTATGTGCTAACACATATTATACTATTTATGATACATAATTGATAAATAATATATGTTATCAAAATATAGTCTGTATATTTTATATTTTAAAGTTTGGTATATACATGTGTATATGTGTGTGTGTGTGTGTGTGTGTGTGTGTGCAGTGTCATTGAGTACAACTGATTCAATGATAAAATTCAATTTCCACAGATTTTGGAGCTCTTTGAATATAGAAGTTACTGATCTTAAAGGAAAATATGTCCATCTAAGTTTGAAAACTATTTATTCTAAAACAGAATGAAAGTGTAAGATGTCATTTATGTACAGGAGATGGTACTGGCTATAACAAGCTTCTAGCAAACAATAAGGAGTGATTGTAATAAGATTTAAAACCACAGTAAATCACAGGAATATGACAAAAGCGTGAAGGCCTAATGGATTAAAACAAAAAACAACAAAGAAACAAAAATCCTCTTTAATGAAGCTGCCAAACCTTAAATTATGTTTGGAATTAGTTATCACTTAAATCCATTAGATGGGCAAATTATACATTATAAACAAAAAATCAGGGATCTGTGGAACAGTGGTAGGTCTTATGTTACTGGTGAGGTATAAATATGTACAGTTTTAACATTTGTGGTATCTACTGAAATTAGCTAGTGTGTCCCTCACATTAACATTTTCACTTTAGATAGGGTACATACACTAAAGTGCGTGTCCACCCCATTAGGACCTAGGCAGAGTCCTGCTATCAAACACATCAATATTACTGCAGCAAAACATACATTTAAAGTAAGTGGGATAAAGAAAGATTTCAAATAATCTCCTATCAGTGCACTTCTGTTTTGGTCACTGTGGCAGACAGACACTAGGGTGCCCTTCTATGGTCCCTACCTCTTGTGTTCACACCTTTGTGAAATTCCTGTCTATTAAGTATGGGCCAGGCAAAGAATCTTCTGACCATGAGAATATGGTAAAGATGATGGGATGTTACTCTAGGATTTCACCTCATTATTTAAGACTCCATCTTGCTAGAAGATTTGGTATAGTACATCTCCTGAGCTTAATTGGAAGAAATAATTGGCCGTGTTGGGAGCCCTGTGCGTGGAGTTAATGAGTGACCAGAAACTGAGCAGGCTCCAGTCAACAGCTAGTATGAAGCCAGAACCTTAGTCCTGCAGCATTCAAGACTTTATTTCTTCATTGCTTTCTGATAATGAATTCTTGGTAACAAAGTGACCTTAGAAGTATATTCTTCCTTAGACTAGCCTCCAGATAACACAGACTGGACAACACTTTAACTATAAACTTGTAAGACCATAATCATAGGGTCTATCCAATCTCTGTCAGATTCCTGACTCACAAAAAAATGTGAGGTAAAATTATATAAACATTTATTTATCACTAAATTTGTGGTGGTAATTTCTTAATAGCAAAAGATAAATAATGCAGTCATAAAGTGATTACAGGTTAGGTCCAATTTTGTAGCCAATGGATCATGATAAAACTTTCCATTTCAATGTGTATGGTAGAGAAGGCCTGTTATCCCAGCACTGAGAAAGCTTGTACAGGAGGATTCCCAGTTCAAGGTCAGCCTGTGCTACATAGTGAGAAGCTGTCTAAAGGTCAAAAAGCCAAAATAAAACAAAACAAACACACAAAATTCCTCCCCAAATTCTCCACTTATAGAGTATTTTGAATGTGAAATTATGGATATGAAATTGTGAAAATATAACAAGCTTTAATTAACATAATGAATGGAGCAGGAAACTTGAACTTTGAAGACACTAAAATTAGCATTTGTGTGATTCCAACATTTACTAGCATTCTCTAGGTCAAATTCCTAAAATTATTTGAAACACACATAGTCAATAATACTTACCAAGCTCGTTTGCATAGAATAAGAATTAGAAATATTGACAATAAACATAATCAGATAATGTACCATGGTGGGTCAGTGATCAGGGACTAATACTTTATACTTAGGACTTTATGCATATTAATGCAGTTAATTTCATGACCTCTTAATAAAGGCAGAACTGTTAATATATTTATTTTTTCAGATAGGCAACCTGAGTGACTAGCATTGCCTGGAGTGACATGCCTAATCCAAGGGAAAGCAAGAACTAGAAGGGACTGCAGAGATGATCAGTACCCATAGCATAATAAGGACAAAGAAGAATGCTGTAATTCCACAGAAGATAAGTAAACAAGCTCTGTTTGTGAGGCTGTCAAGGATAGGTGGTGACCTTGGATCCTACTTAAGGTCCCTTCCATCTATAGCATTTAGGAACTCTTGAGTTCACTCACCCTGATAACGTCTTAATGTTTCCTTCACATCAAAGTACAGCTCAGAGACATTACAGGTAGTATGACTCTCCAAGGCAATGTTCTCAGGTGTTTCCACCTTCACAGCCAAACTCCTAGAAGAAGCAGAGGCCAGAGAATTCCTTAGTGCCACATTCCATTCAGCTTCCAAATGTCCTCAGCCCTCCCTTCCCACATTCATGCAGGACTTACTTGCTTAAAGTGTGTTTCACATCCTATTAAGAACAAAAACAAAAGGTGAGTATGTTAGAATTAGTACTTCATAGGATTTGGGAGGTGGGGATGTACTCTATAAACACTCCTTCCAAAGAAGGAAAGAGAGAGACCCCTGTCTTTCATATGGATAGATACTCAGATGGAATGATTCCCAACCCAGCCTCTGGCAGACTCAGCAGGGTCTGTTACCTTCTCTAAGGAAGCCTGTGGGGAACTGTAATGTCTGCAATGCCATCAGTCTGGGGGCTGCTTGAGAAGAAGACCACAAGCTTTGCTCATCTTTCCTCTGAGAAGACCTGCTTCCAGTGACCAATTCCTTCAGAGTGAGCCCATGTTAGAGATCACTAATTACACAGGTTCTTCATGGTGAATCCATACATAGCTCTTGACACTGGACCACTGAAATGGTATATTTCTGGTCCTTCACAGGGTGGTGGAACAGATACACAGCACCTCAACCAGTCCCATTAGTGGAGCCAGAATTAAGAGCACCAGCTATTTATCTTCATGGGATGCATCCTTCGTGAAGTTGCAAGAAGGCCTCATAATAGCTATAGGGCCACAAGGGAAATACTACCACTCATATTGACTGACACACTGTCATGGTCTGTCACTTGGAAATATATTTCAGGAATGAGCCTTCAAGTGAGCGATCCAAGTGCATGTGTCAAGGGAGTAATGATGGCAGGAGTTCTGCTGAGGATTCATTTGGCCGGTTGTATTTCATCATGAAATCATGTTGTCCTACAGACTAGTGGAAGCCATCCTGATGAGACTGATGTATAATGTAAAGGAAACATTACCTCAAATTCCCTTGCTATACTGAGTCAATTTTGAGAGAAGGCAGGCCTTGCCAATCCTCCCATGCTGCCTTTATCATTCTCCTCTTACCAACTCAGTAACACATACCTCCTCTCCCCGCTCTAAGCCCACACAGTCTCACCTGTAGCAAGTTCTGGACTGAACCCTCACATTTTGCCTCCAGTTTCAGGATATGGCTCTCAAGCTCATTGCTCTTCTGCTCCAGATTGGCCTTACAGTCCCTCGTTCTCCTCAGCATCTGCTCTTCTTCTTTCTCCAGCTTCCAGAGGCAACACTTCTCCTCCTCATGCAGAAATGTCTGGAGATTCTTGAAGTCAGACTTGATTTTTTGTCTCTGAATCTCTATCAGTTTCTAGAATCATGAATGCATGGTCAAAAGGTAGAACAAACTAAATATCCATCTTTGGTTGCATGGATGAATAAAATGTGGCTTGTAGATAAAATGGAATATTACTCAACCTTAAGAAAGAGTGAATGTCTAGGCCATGCTATGGTAAGGATGAACCTTAACGACATTGCACTAAGTGAAGTAAAACAGAAATTAGAAGGCAAATATTCCAAGTACTCATTTATATAAAGTATCAGAATAGTTAAAAACAGATAGAAAGCAGAACAGTGCTGCAGGTATTGAGAGAATGTAACAATGGGGTACCTGCCTTTAATGGTGACAGCTTCAATTTTAATTTGGAAGATAAAAATTTCCTTAGAAACAAATGGTGATGGTTGCACAACATGAAAATACTTAGTGCCACTGAACTGTAAAAATTTTAAATCATTAAAATGGCAATTTTTATGTTACATGTACTTTACTATGCCAAAAAGAAAAGTGCATCATCAGCAACTGTAACGTAATTTTCCAATGAGTCACTCCAGCTGGAGGAACATCTCAAGCTTCCTGCGGGCACACAGATATTGGAAATTATCCCTGAGTCTCTATAGCACCTGATTTTCTTCTTATTAAACCAAGGTCTGGGAGGAAAATGGGGCTGGAGTAAAAGATAATGTAATAAATGGAACTATGGCTGTGTTTGAATATTTCAACAGTTACAATGATAAAAATGAGTTTTCAGCCTGGTGTGGCAGCTCATGCATATAATCCTAACAATTTGGAGTCTGAGGTAGAAGAATTAAGAGTTTGGGGATAGTTTGGACTACATAGCAAGATGATTCTCACTAACACACACACAAAATACACGAATTTTAATTGATATGTACGAAGGTGTCTCTGAGTCAAGAAATTTCTTAAAGCAGTGGCTGGTTAAAAACAACCCCAAGCGAGGATTTTGAGACAAACAGAATGATGGGAAAGTCCTTGATTCTTGTTAGATGGGGGTACTATGGTACCCCCAATTAACTTTGGTTATAGTTAATTGAGAAATATTCAACCACCAACCTAGGGTCATCTTAATCACCCCTATGTATAAGATGACCAAAACCAAATGAAGTATCCTATTGTCTGAGTTATTGTTTGAGGAGACAGAATTGCCATTTCTATGAGTGCCTTAGAAATGCATGCACTGTTTCAATGACTACAATGTTGTGATGCAAGGGTTATTGAATTAGGATGAAGGAGAATTTTATATAGGAGACAGATGCAGTTTTAGCCCTAGCATTGATGGGCTTTCACAATATGTTAGTTATAATAAGGGCTTTTTATGACAGCAGATCCCAGAAATAATGGGAGTAAAGTCAGAGCATCTCTAAAAGCTCAAGTTCAACATCTACACGTAAAGCAAGCAGAGAGTGGAAAGGACCTCTGAATGAGGCAGAATGGCTCACTGGCCTTTGGTACTTGATTGCAAGCTATGGCATACATACATATTTTTAAAAAGGAGTATGTCTCTTAATAATGTGGAGACTGGGCTAGTCTACAGTTGCCAAGTGTGGCTTCTTGAACCAATTATGATGCTTCTTATAAATGAAGTAGGTTTCTTTTATTGGAGAAAAATCATGAGATTCTCATGAATCTCAGCCTATAGTTTCCATGTTTCTGAATGCTCTCAACGTTTGGTTTCTGACCCTGTAAGGATGAGCGTCAGGCCCAACACTGTGGTTTATGTAACAAAGTAAGAAGGTTGATGCATGTATACCAGTTTGATACATTTAAATTGTGAAACTCAGTAAGGCTAGTGCTAGGGCAGTTCCATTCTGCTTCTCTTGACTGAGTTATCAAGGATCCCAGCAATGAGGCTGGTGGAGTAACTCAAGTGGTAGAGCCCCTGCCCAGCAAGTTGAGTTCAAACCCCAGTACCATCACACACACACACACACACACACACACACTAAAAGAAAAAAGAAAAAAATGATCCCAACAATTCTTATTGGAAGACTGAAGGGCTTGGTGATGAAATCCCATGAATGTGAATAAATATGTCATAAAAACAATGGTTTCTTCTTTGAGTTTCATCTATATGGTCTAGCACAGTGAGAGCTAACCATTACTGTGCTATGTCCCAGTTATCCTCTGTGCTTAACCTCTAGAATGAAAAATAGTTTGAGATCAATGAGCTCAGATTCTTACCTCCCACTCATTTATTTTCATTGTCATGAACAGTTTGTAACTCATACATTCATCTTGGAGTTGATGCAATTTTGTCACAGCACTCTGGAGTTTTTCCTGAAGGAAAAATTGGGCGAGTAATGTTTATACAATAAAATTTCTCATTAGTCACCTAGTCAGGACCTTGTACTCCAGCATGTATTCCAATCACAGTGAATATTTCTTGAGTTCTTAATAAATTTTGCAGGGACATTCTGAGGGCTGTATGTGTGGTAACAAATCAAACACCTTTGCAATCCTGAACAGGTGGTGGAGTGTTTAAGTTCATTTCTGTGCTGTAGATAATGAAGCTTAGGAGGGGGTCAAGGTAAGTTGTTCCAGGTAACTAGTAGGCAATAGTTGTCTAATCTCATCTGATGACCCAGTGCCTGAGCCATATCAATGATGACAGCCTTGTCAGGGTAAAGTTGCACATAGAATATAATAATCATCTAAAAGAAGATTTTTATAAAATTGGCTACATTTTGAACCAAACATAACCAATACCACAGGATGTGGGACAAATTAAACATTGTAGATATTATGAATGGGTCAGAAAGGAAAGATCAGAATACAAACTAAATTTATTAGCAAAAGGTCATAGAGCAGGGTATTCTGGATTTGTTTTGAAAAATGGCATCAAACACCCAATTTGAAAGAACTTAGTGTCCTTGACATTCTTTTTGGTTATTTTCCAAAATCATTTCTTATATTTTCATAGAAAGCAATTTGAAGCTAACCCAAATTGCTCATTGTGGCACAAGCTAAGATAGTCGACTGCTGCTGTACAGTTGACAAGTATATCCATTAATTCTCACAGGGTACTGGAAAGAGTTCTATGTAAGTGTTTTAGAAAGTACTTGACTGTCCCTGCTATATATCAAGTGCTATTCTAAAATTTACTTATTTTAATGTCCTAAAAGCTTACACAAATTCTTAGTATGTATATTAGAATGGCAGGAGACTAATATGCTCATTTACAGGTGAGGAAACCAAAGTATGAAAACACTAAGTAACCCCAAATTGCTCATCTAGTAAGTGCCAGATATCACTCTCACCAGACTGGTATAGGGGTTTATAAACATGCTGTGCGGGTCCTTTTCTTACTACTTGGTGGGAAAGTAATGTAAATAGAAACATTTTCATTACTTATAAACCACCATCTGGTGTCAAAGGAAGGGCCACATGTGCTGAGAGATGGTCAGGATTGATATGTCCTAATGAAGCACTTGGGGCCTTCACATGATACAATGTACACTTGTGGAGGATAGAACAAGAAGCCCCACCCTGAGCTCATCTTCCTCAAATCTAGCAGGGCAGAGGGGAAATGAGGCAGCAGGACGATGCCTGCTCCTTCATCTGCCATAGGCCCCTTCTTACAGGCTGTCATCAAGAAACCCATTAGTGGCCCAAAAGCTCTCTCTCTGCTTCACCATCCACAACCTCTCACTTACAAATCTTTGACTCTTCTGAAATCTTGCTTGAAATTGCCCTATCCCTCCCTCTTTTTTAGGAATTTTCTCCTTGCTAATCCTTTTAGCAGGGTCAATGTTGTTTCCAATGTCACTGACCCTTCATTCCCCAAATGAAAATTTTTTCAGGGTATGTGGTACTATGGTCTTTGGTTAAGACTTGAAGCTGATACTAAGGTTCTAAACCTCAACTATCTGCTCTGGTTATTTTGGAGATGGAGTCTCATGAACTATTTGCCTGGGCTGGTCTCAAATTGGGATCCTACAGATTACAGACGTGAGCCACTTGTGTACAGTTAAATCAGTACTTTTAAAAATTGTATAGTCTGATTTAGAGTACCTCAGGTTATACCCCTCTCCCTCCCTCATTCCCTCTGAGCTCAGAGAACTCCTTTCCAATTACAAATCCTTTTTAAGCTAAAAAGAGTGAAAATTTCCCCCTGCATGGACTTTGGGTACCTGAAAATTAGCATAAGTGTATGGCGAGTCTACCCAGATCCTCCCCTGGCCTAAAGGCCACTGGAGACAGTGAGTGACGTGGGTTTTCACCTCACCTCCAAGTTAAGGATGGTATAAAAAAGACCTAAAATTTTGAAAAAGTCTTTTTCCTGCATGTAGTTCTTTCATTCCACCTGACAGAGACCACAACTATAATTCCCCTCCCTTTTATCTATAATAAAACTCCATTATTTTCCTTACTACTTCCATGTGTTCTGCTTGGAGTCTTCCTGGCCAGAGCACAAGGACAAAATCTTCTGATCAGAATAATCAGCAGCTACAATATAATCACTTGCCTTTCCTCTCCCCACACCCCTAGGCTAGGTCATGGTGTCAGGGAACTCCCAAGATTGTATCTTTGCATGGCCAAGGCCTGCCTGGGATGGTTTACAGGTACTGAATTTTTGTGTGTTCCTCAGGAATTAGCTCCAGGATGAACCAATCCAGCTCTGATTCCCTTTTAAACATCATGGGGCTCCAGGAAGTCATTCCTCTGGTTTGTCCTCTTTACTAGACTACAGGATACTTAAAATTAGAAGATATAGCTCTCTATATTTTCAGGTCCTACTAACAGTGTCTCGCATATGTGTTTCTGAAACAAAAATATGTCAGATTTTGGTTTGAGGGCAACATGTCCCAGGGTAGGCAGAAATTCATTATGACATACAAGGAAGGGTCAAGATTCTGACCACCACTGAATGTCAGGATGAACAGAGTGGATACAATCAACACAACCTAATTTTCATCACAAACCATTTCACATGAGAAAAGCTGTATTTCAGGCATATAACCCCAGACTTCAGGCTAAATAGTCTCAGGTCTTGAAAATAGCATGAGAGTTGATACATGGCAAGGTCTGGACCTGCCACACTCACCTTGTAGCCCTGGGATACGTCTTCCACAAGAGCTGTGGCATGCCCTTTGTGTTGCGCTGACCTCTCACAGCGCCAGCAGATGAGCTGGTCCTCCTCTTCACAGAACAGGTGGAGCTTCTCTCCATGTTCCTCACACAGCATCTCATGGTCCATCTTCTCCATCTTCTTGATGACTTCAACTATCTTTCCCAGATCTCTGTTGTACCAGAGATTGTTTTTAGTAAATCTGACCCTGCACAGAGGACAGTTAAATATATTTAGCCCTTCTTGCCGTTGGCTTAGCTTTTTACAGAAGCCCTCTATACATGACTGGCAGAAGGTATGTCCGCACTTAATGCTCATCGGGTGAGTCATCAGGTTGAAGCAGATGGAGCAGGTGGCTATCTCTTTCATGTTCTTGGTGGTAGCAGCTGAGGCCATGGCTTTTCTTGAAAAACTGTAATATTAGATCTGGAGGAAGAGATGACACTGGCACAATTTTCCACAGTGATGGAAATATACCTCACGTGAGTGTGTGGGTAATGAACTGTCTGCTACTGCACTCCAAAGTCCTGAAGCCTCTCCCTAGAAAGAAGAAACAGATTGGCATTTAGAAGATGCATAAATATCTAGACAGATTGTCAACATGGTGGCCTATATTATTTGTGGGCTTTTAATTTTTCTTAATGATAAAGTTTTAAATTCATTTTCTCAGTCTTACTGGTCACATTATATTTGACTGATTGCCACATGTGGCTGGTAGCTATGTGACACTCTAGACATTGAACATTCCATCATCATAAAACACTCTCTTAGTCCAAGTGCTGAGAGAGACAGAGAAGCAAGGCAGGATTCCTCAGAAATGATGAAACAAGAGCAAGGACACAGCAAAATAGTATGTAACTCATTTCCATTCTAATGAGGTCAACAATAATTAGTACCAGAGCTATATGTTTATAGTAATTGGGTAATCTTTGTGAGGTTCCAGGAGACAACCAATTTTGACTCCAACTTGACCATGACCCCCACCCCAAATAGGTCACAAGACATCAAGTTATAAACTGTAAATGGTGACCCAACCTAGAGGATGGTCAATGTATCTAATGCTACCAGTGGAAGCAGTTTATTCTTCTTGTGTCCCATCCTTGAACCGAGGGAAAGAGATTTGGAAAGAGCTCCTGAGACTGGAGACTGGGCCTGGTGAGCTGTTTTTCCTGGGAACAAAGCTGCCGCAGAACTAAGGAGTTTTATGTCTCTTCTATAGGACAGGACCTAGTTCCCAGGAAAAGTGCAAGTAACTAGAAAACAGAAAGTTGGCAGAGCCCAGGGAAGTTGAAAGACAGTTGGGGGAAGCCAGGGCCTTTTTGGAATTCATGGTGTTGGACATGACGCAGGATAGATAGATGAGGGGACAGAGAAATTATATTATTTTAATAAATATTTGAAAAGCCAGACTCATATATTGGAATAAGGAAGTAGACACTAGAAAGCCAGAGCAGCTAGCCCCTCCCATCTCCTCTTAGATGTGAAGTTACAGGAACAAGGAGACCTAGAGGAGCTACCTGCCTCTGCTTTCCTCTGAGATTTTAACAAACTGCAAGGATCCTTGAATGGATAGAGGAAAATGCTTGTCTGGCAAAGGCAGGTGCTAAAACTAACTTATTGTCCCTTGGTTTTGAGTAGGTCTAAGTAAACATCTTCATATTTTACAAAATAAACAACACCCATCTTGGGTACTCAGAACCATTATCTAGTGATTGGGGCTATTAGACTTTGACTTGGTGATGTGTATTTCTCCAACTCAGCTTAAAGACCCCAGGAAAGAACCACCATTTTGAGTTTGTCTCCCACCCCTGCATTTCTAGGCGGAGTTGTCTTTTCTCCCTTCTCTTTGCATTTCTCCCTACTTTATTCCGTTATTCTAAAATAAGCCTTTGCTAAAACTTCCACCTCCTGAGACTCCTTGTTCTGAGACACCTTGAGATGCTTTTCACATTTGTACATCTCAAGGATCTGTGATTTTGCAGGGATACTGGGAAGCTGTGGGAGCCCCTCATCCAGCCTCCCTTAACAGACACCCTTGTTGTCCACCCCTTGGAACCTGATAACCAGAGGCAGTGGAGGAGAGACCAGTAGCAATGTTTGTCTCCTGGCCTCCTGTGGTATCTGCTTCTGAGAGCCCATCCCTGTTTTCTCCACATGTTCACCCCACTGGGGGAGTTTGTCTGGGAGGAGAAAATTGTATGGGGAAAGTTTGTATAATGATTTATCCTTTGAAATGACAGTGCCTAGAATTGAAAACAGCAATTCAAGTAATATTACCAGGTAGGCAGTTTTCCTCTCGTCACCACAACCAATTATGGAGACACAAAGGACTTTTCTGAAGCATTGCTCCCTGGCAGATCATTTCCAAGGATACACTAGGACACTCTGCCAGGGTGCAGAGCTCTGGGGAGAAGAGTCTTCCCTCCTTCTGAGGCCCCAGGTTGCCTGTTCTGAGTCTCACTCACCTTATGTTCTGGATCTTCAGAGAGTTGTTGTGAAGTCTATTGAAAGCAAGGGTAGACAAAAATGATAGCTGTAAAACAAAGTCCTGAGCATTTCCAGAGGAGGGGCAGGATTGTGGTATCAGGAAATAAACTCCCACCCCCACCCCACACTCACATTGCCCACCCAGGATTACCAACCCTCTACCCAGAGGACTCAGGCCTGGACCTTTCATGAAGACAGTCAAGGATGTGCTGCAGGTCTCCTCAGAGGCTGTCCCTTCCTGGAACTTAATTAAGGAATCAATTCAAAAGTGAAACTACTGTGGGAGGAGGGACCTTGAGATTTACAGCCAATGAACTTGCTCATCTCTTTTGCACTCAGCTTGTCCTGAAAGGAGGGGAGAATATAGGAAAAACTGCCTTCTTTTAAAGCAGAAAACAGAATGACAAATTAATTACCCACATAATCCCTGCCACTCCAGAAGAGAATATCCAGAAGCAAGAAGCCCACAGAAAGTCATCTGACACATGTCTTCTCCATGGCAAAATCAGAGTAAAAGTACTTTCACCAATCAAGATAGAATTTATTACTGAATGGAAAAAACAAAAAAACAGATAACCATGTTTAATTAAGACCTTGTCACATTTATAACTGCAAGTGTAATGGGCATTGTTTTTGAAGTTCTTCTTTTGTTAGAAAAAAGTTTTTCTTCCCTAATCCTTTTTCAAGGTTTTCAGCCATGATCCTATAGGAATATAGCTCAATATGTATGACTGGTGTTGCTAATTCTTGCTAATTTTGTCTATTCCTAAGCCCTAATTTCACTCTTTGAGACTCTTTGTTGTAGCTTAGTTAGTATTTTAAAGTTTTTAATCTCAGGTTCAGATGGTGCACTTTCAGATCACAAAGATAGTTGCTCAATTTGACAACTTTTAATGTAAACTTTAAGAGTTTGATTTAGTTTAGTTTTTTCACATTTTTTTATTCACTCAGACCTTCTTTCTCAAGAGTTTTTAAAATATCTACTTATCTCTGGGGAGAGACCTGGAATTGGCTGGGGGTGGGGTGGAGGTGGGAGGCAAACAGTCCAGAAGAATGTCCCCAGAGCACTGAACATCTTCCTCTCTGGAGACTGAACATTTTGACTCTGCTCATGGAGTCTGTACATCCGGAGACCAATAAAATGACCCCAAGGTGCTGTTAGAATGAAAGACACAGAATCGATACTTGGGAAAACAGCTCAACACAGCACAGGGTTTATTATTCAGGAAGAAGTCCTCTGGAGGGAGTCCCCAGCAAGAAAGCTGGAGCCACAGCTGCTTACAGACTGGAGTAGATATAGGAGGTGGGTGGAAAAGTTCCTGGAAGCTCACTGTGCAGCAAAATCCTTAACGGCCCTCTGATCCTCCGAGATTGACTTAAGAGTGGGTCATTTATACTAGACCAGGTGGGGAGTTTCTAGTAAATGGCTAAAGGTAAATGCTTATTTTTCTTTGGGTCAGGATGGAGGGTTTCTAGTAAGTTACCTTCAAGGAGGAGAAGGTTCAGTTCTAATATGGCTTCCTTTTGTTAACCCTAACAAGTGCAATGTGCCTCTGTCCACAATTGGGCTGTGGCCATTGAGTCATTAGACAATGGTTCTGTACTACTACAGTGGAGTCAGAATACGGGTGTTGTAATAAGGAGATTGAGACAGAGAAAGTAGAAAAATCAGTGCCATATGCATTCTTAACACAGACACCACCATGAGAACCTTGGACTCCATCCCTCCTCTGAGGAGTTACATGAAGGGTTCTCAGGATTGTTTTTCTGACAGTCAGGAAGCGGGAGCCTTTATCCACCCATTGGGTTCCCCTTTATGTTCCCACCTGAGGTGTTAATTCCCCCTCACTTTCTGTCTGTCTGACTGTTAATCACAATGTTTTCACGGTTTCAGAAAAAAAAAAGTCCCAATGAAGAAAGTCACATAGGAAAAGACGGCTCTGAACAAAGTATAGGGTTTACTTAAGGACTCAAGGGCCAAAATGACTTTGGCATTGTATAGCACCAAAGAAAGCCACTGTGCACGGAAGATAGGATGCAAGAAGGCTATTGTTTATTAATCCAATAGATGTGTATGAGTCTAGAATTTGCCCTATGGGCCATGTGGAACAGTTTGGAATTCATCTAAGGACACTTTTTGTACCCACTCAGTCTGTTTATGTTCCTCTGTGTCCCTCCACTGCTGTCTCTGTCATTCCTGTTCTGTCCTGTCTGTATCTCTGTTCTTCTCTTGCCATACTCCATACTCCTCACATAGCTGACCCTGCACGCAATTACAGGGAGAAGGAGATGTCACCAATGTCTAAGGAAGGGCACTCCAGGGGAAGCTCCTCTTTTGCTGTCTTACTAAACATATACCAGATGCTACCCACTGGCTCTGTATGCCGGTGAGGGGGTTTCCTAGAATGGACAAGTGAGAAGTCTAGCTGGGAGGGAATGGGGGCCCTGCCACAAGTTCCCTGTGGTCTTTCATGAATCTCACTCAGAATATTAGTAAGGTAGAGCTTTTCAAGATCAAACACTGCCCCCTTGAGGTAGAATAGTGGAAGCTGAAGGGGCTGCACTACACTCCTAATGTTACCATGAACAGAACACTTAATAATTACTTTAAGCTTTTTCTTTTGAAAATAGATGCCAGGCAGTGTGATCTATATCATCTAGTATATAAACTATTTTTAATAGTTTATTTTAATTTGTTGAAATCTAATTAAAGGAAAGTTAGCAGTCTAATTATACCATACCATGTGGTCTCACACAGAATAGAGACTCTGGTTTCCTCATGGAAAAAAATAACCAAAAAGAAATAAGAGTAAGGAACAGATTGGAAGGATATATTGAGCAATTCAAAAAGCACTGGATTCCAAAGTTTTTGGGAATAACACTCAAAAAGGATTCAATTTTTAACCTACATGACACAATTTTGTCTTTTTCTGACCTGTTCTTTGCTTTTCATTAACTTTTTTTTTTGAGACAGGGTCCTGGTATGTAGCCCATTCTGGCCTAGAACTCAAAATCATTCCAGGATCACAAGTTTGATATATAAACATCCTGCAAAGAAATAAAGATTATACCTTGACACCCAACAATCTCTTCTGTACCAAACTCAGGTTGAGGAGATTGACCCCAGATAGATAGCAAGTTCCTTGGTATTGATAAGACTCTGTATGCTATGGAAAACCCCACAACTCTTGCTTTTGTTCATTCCTTTCCATATAATCTCAAGGTCTCCATTGTCATGCTGAGGACAGCCCTTAGACTTGTCCTCCTTATGTGGCACACTGAAATTGAAATTCTTTCTCATGTCTCACCATTGCCTTCTCTGTTTGTTTTTCTTTTGGAGGGCTAGTGGCCCATAGTAGGACATTAGGACCCCTGGAAATAGGCTGTAAACTAGAATAATCAAAGACACATTAACCAGAAAGGCAAGTAGAAATTTATTAACATATATGTCATACATACACCACATGATACTCAAAAGATATACAATGGAAAAAAAGTGGTTATAACTTGGGCATAGGTACCACTTTAACAAAAGAAGTTACAAGGCAAGAAAAAAAAGACTTTGAGTTGCTAGGGTTGAGGATTCTGCAAAGGCAAATATATAGGAAAGCTACTGATACACAAACAGAAGTTGTTAAAAGGTTTGGTATGAAGTTTTCTTTGGTACTGTGTCTAAGACAAGAGTCTCTGGTAGAGAATAGAAAGGGATACCTTACAAATTGATGTCCTGCATTTAGGAAAAGATAGATGGAGAGGGAAGAAAGTTATTCTTGTATTTGATCTTTCTCAATTTCTTTCCTTCACAACAATCCTTAGTATACAACGGCACATTTTAGGGTAGCATATTCTGCTACCCTTCAACTGTTACTGACAACCAGCCTTCATCCACCTGATTAAGAAAGCTTCTGACTCTGGGGAGCTTGGGCAATAGTGTAACATCTTCTAGGTCTTCCTCTGGGCAAGCATGCCTCTGACATCCACAAACAACTTTTGCTTTATTTCCCTTACCCTTAGAGAGATGAAGTCAGAGAACCTCAACAAATATCAGCAATCAACAATTTCCATATCAACAATAAATTTTCATAATTTTGTGACTCTGGTGGTGATCATTCAGGTCCTTTTTGGGTGACTTAACTATGTTCCTGTAATTTGCCCACTCATGGTATGACCACGTAGACTTGACTGGAAATTGCATTGATAATAAACTCCTATAAAGAATTAAGAACTATTTGATTATATCAGAGTTATAATAAAGATTGTTGATGATCATTCCAGCAATGAGACTCTGATATTTTAAAATATTTTAAAGTAACTGTCTCTAGTACAGTCCAAGAAAATATCAACTTTCTTTCTTTCCAGAATTAGTACCATACTAAAACTCATTTTTACTCAAAATCCACTTTAACCATTTAAGCCATCTCATCACTCACTCATTACTTGGTCGTTTCCCAGGCAGCGCTCACTAAGTCTGGCTGCCTCAGGTCTGCATTTCATATTATTGATCAACATGTCATTGATTGGAAGAGCTCTAAAATTTTTGTTTTCCTGCCCTTTTCTGCAGTTGGTAGATGATCATTACTTCCTTTCATTCCCCAAACAAGTTCAAATGGCATCAAAGAAATTGGGAGAATCCAGACCTCTAGACTTTAGTGCTACCCTCCTCATCATCCAAGGACAACTGAAAATCAAACCTTGAACCCAATGAAGAAGGATGCAGAACAGTGTATGGTCATTATCTTATCTTGCTAAACCCTCACTGAGGCTATCTGCAAGATTTTTACAGTTTTTATATTCATTAATTCAATGCACATTTATTAAATAGCGATTAAAGCCCCAAGATTGTTCTAGTACTGGAAGAATAGTAGTGAAGAAAATGGACCAAATTTCTGCCTTCACAGGATTTCCATGCTCTTAAAACAAGGAGACATTGCTCCTTTCCTTACACATCAGGAAGAGGCAGGAACAAAGAAGAATGCTGATAAACCTGGAAAAAGGGCAGGAGAGTATCAGAGAAGGAAGCCTTTGGGAAGGTGAAGATGTGGCAGCCAGCACTCATGTTGTAAAAGGATACAAGTCCGGCCTCATAGTTCTATAAAAACTCCCACAACCAGGGGCTGCTCACTCAAATGAAGGGAAGTCAGCGGAGAGGTAAG